GTCGGTAAAGGGTACCAAATCTCTCTCACAGTGGGATTTTTAACAAATTTTGCTGCAGAAATAAGTTAATCAGAAATTGTTAAAAATGGGATTCTGTTTGAACTGAGGGGAATCTATAAAATGAAGATTTTGCTCTGTGTGCAGTTTTTGGCAAAGCATTTTCATTATTTTTTTTTAATTTCTTCTTGGAACATCTTCCATATGCTACAATATTTAAAGTGTATTTTTAAATAGTGACTAGCAATCTGTGAAACACCATTTTAGCATGAATGAGGTCATATGGTACTAAAATACTACTTATACTAGGAAACTGAGATGAATTGAAAGTAGCACAGCTAAAAAAGGGAACACAGCAGGTGTTTTATTAGATAGCAGATATTGGCTTTTTTTACATCTGTAGAATAACTGATACTTCACCCTAAAAATTGTTACAAATTTGCATATTTCTACTACTGAATATCAGTAAGTCCTAGTGTTCCTAATTTAGAGTGTTTCTTTAAGGTGTTTTAGATGAATAAAACATTATATCCTCTTCTAGCATATCACCAGTTTCATAATGTGATACAGGATTGAAAGAATTTTGCTTGGGTACCAGACATCTGATGACTACGAGTATGTTGGAAAGGAAACAGGGCAGGCTGCTCTCCCACAAAAAAACCCCAAACCTGGAATTATCAGCATTCTGTAATTTTCAGAAAGTTGACTGTAAGGTATACGTGCAACCTGTTATAAAGAAGCATTTTTTGTGTTGCAATAAATAGGAGAGAAATTTTCTTAGATGTGCAGATTTTAGTCACTTAGTGAATAAGAGAAGTGGGATTTATCCCTACCCCAGAGTTAAAATGCCTTTGACTATTAATATGGGCACGTCATGGAAGTAAAGCACCCTGTTGTTTAAAATTGATATCTTCCCTAGTTTATTGTTATAAAGTAATTCAGAGAACTTTTTAAAATGTGCTGTTTGAATACAAATTGTTGAGGGGTTTAGCACCATAGCCCCAGTAATAAACAGATGATAAAACAGTTACTGTCAATTCGTTCATCCTGATGCTTGAAATTTAATATTCTGTACACAGAATGCTCTAATATTCTCACATTTTAAAAATATCCTGCCTTCCGTAAAGTAGTAGTTTCAGGTGACTAATCATTGTATAAAGCACGGAACTGATATATAAATGCAAATTAGCGGCCTTTTGGTTTGTGGAATTTTGGTATCTTAGCACATGATCCCTAGCTTTCGGGAGCAGCACATCCCTTACAAGCATATTAAGTGAAATACAGATGATTCCACTTTCTTTTGTAAAGTATGCATAGTAATACAGATTTAACTAGAAACGCTGACATTTAAAAAACATGAATACATGTATACAATGGATACAAAACATAACATTTTGCCTTGGTCTTCACTGGCACGGGCTCTAGCCACATCACCAGAGTTGCAGAAGGCAAAGAGACTGGAAGAATGAGGAACAGCCCACTGTAGGAGAAGACCATGTTCAAGACCACCTGAGGAACCTGAAGGTGCACAAGTCCATGGGACCTGATGAGATTCATCTGCGGGTCCTAAGAACAGGTGGCTTAAACTGCCATGCCACTATCCATCCTATTTGAGAAGTCATGGCAGTCCAGTGAATTTCCCACCAACTGGAAAAGGGGAAACATAACCCCCATTTTTAAAAAGGGAAAAAAGGAAGACCCAGGGAACTACAGGCCAGTTAGTCTCACCTCTGTGCCTGACAAGATTATGGAGCAGATCCTCCTGGAACTATGCTAAGGCACATGCAAAAGGATTGGGGGGAATTAGTGACAGCCAACGTGGCTTCACTAAGGGCAAATTGCGTCTGACAAATTTAATGACCTTCTGTGAGAGCATTATAGCATTGGTGGACAAGGGAAGAGCAACTGACATCATCTACCTGGACTTGTACACGGCATTTGACACTGTCCCGCATGACATCTTTGTCTCTAAATTAGAGAGGCATGGATTTGAAAGATGGACCAATGGATAAGGAATTGGCTGGATGGCCACACTCAAAGAGTTGCAGTCAACAGCGTGATGCCCAGATGGTGACCAGTGGTGAGTGGCCCTCCTCAGGGGTCGGTACTATTTAACATCTTTGTTGGCAACATGGACAGTGGGATTGAGTGCACTCTCAGCAAGTTTGCCAACACCACCAAGCTGTGTGGTGCGGTTGACATGCTGGAAGAAAGGCATGCCATCCAGAGGGACCTGGACAGGCTTGAGAAATGGACCCATGTGAACCTCATGAAGTTCAACAAGGCAAAGTGCAAGGTCCTTGGGTCATGGCAATTCCAAGCACAAATACAGGCTGGGTGGAGAATGGATTGAGAAAAGCCCTGAGGAGAAGAACTTGGGGGTGTTGGTGGATGAGAAGTTCAACATGAGCTGACAATGTGCGCTGACAGCCCACAAAGCTGACTGCATCCCAAGCTGCATCAAAAGAAGCGTGGCCAGCAGGTTAAGGGAGGTGATTCTCCCCCTCTACTCCACTCTCTGGCAATCCCACCTGGAGTATTGCATCCAGCTCTGGAGCCCCCAACATAAGAAGGACATGGACCTGTTGGAATGAGTCCAGAGGAGGGCCACGAAGATGCTCAGAGGGCTGGAGCACCTCTCCTTGAAGACAGGCTGAGAGAGTTGGGGTTGTTCAGCCTGGAGAAGAGAAGGCTCCGGAGACACCTTACAGCAGCCTTCAAGTACCTGAAGGGGGCCAACAGCAAAGATGGGGAGTGTAGTGATAGGACAAGGGGTAATGGTTTTAAATCTGAAGGAGGGTAGATTTAGGATATTAGGATATCAGGAAGAAATTTTTCACTATGAGGGTGATGAAACCCTGGAACAGGCACAGAGAAATTGTGGCTGCCCCATCCCTGGAGGTATTCAAGACCAGGCTGGATGGGGCTTTGAGCAACCTGGTCTAGTGGGAGGTGTCCCTGCCCACGGCATGGGGTTTAGAATTAGATGATCCTTAAGGTCCCTTCCAGCTCTAACCATTCTATGATTCTATGATAAAATGATTATGAACTCAATTTTTGAATGCACATACCATTTAAGCTGAGTACAAGTAAATTGTCGGTCTGGAAACGTGGAGTGTCAGAGCCATCTGGTAAAACCACCCATAGGCTATTCAGCCATCATTTCAGTCCAACACCCTTGCTGTCATGGCTATTGAAGATTTTCTATGTCTTAAGACTTTACATAGAGAGGCTTTTTTAGGCTTTACTGCAACGACACGTAATGAAGGCACTCCTGCCACCTAAATACTATCTGTCCGTACAAAGCAGAAGAGGATCTTTTGATTTGGGGGAAACTCTGGCTCCATTGAAGCTGAAGCAGAACATTTTTAGTGATTTCATTGGAGCCAGGATTTTCTGCATCTTCAAACAAGTACCTTCACAGTAATTGGGCATGGAGCTGGAGATCAATATCAACTGCTGATGGTATTGAGCTGTAGAATGTTATTTGCAATAGTGGTTGTGATCAGAGACAAATCTCTCTCCCTCCCCTTCCAAAGAAGACATACAGGGAGGAACCCTCAATCTTTTCAGGAACACATCGAGAAAAGAGAAAATGGTCAGCATAGTCAGAGGTGCAGTCCCGCTTCTCGCTAACTCTTTGGGTCAGAGCCCATAGTCTGCTCTGAAATCACACTGCAGTTAAAATGACGGCCTCACCAGATACTTCACTAATGGTGTAGCTGTCTGATACCCTCCTGGGTCGTTGCTGGGGAAAGGCAGTGTGGGTAGAATATCTTTGCAGTTCAGTCATTTCAAAGTATGAAAAAGGTCTTTTGAGGCCACAAGGGCAACTGCTGGCTTCCTGAGATTTGCACTGATTAGATCAATCCTGGGCTAGGGCCAGAAGGTGAGAGGGTGAGGAAGGATGAAAATTTAACTTCAGACCTTCACATCTCTATTTGTCCTGCAACCTCTCTATATGTCAGCTGAGCCAAGAGATCTAGTGATGTGTCCGTACAGGAGATCTGGGTTAGATAAACCTTTTCCATTTGGAATTTTAAAATATTCCTGAGATTTGCACTGATTAGATCAATCCTGGGCTAGGGCCAGAAGGTGAGAGGGTGAGGAAGGATGAAAATTTAACTTCAGACCTTCACATCTCTATTTGTCCTGCAACCTCTCTATATGTCAGCTGAGCCAAGAGAATCTAGTGATGTGCCTGCACAGGAGATCTGGGTTAGATAAACATTTTCCATTTGGAATTTTAAAATTTCAAATATACCTTCAAAATAAATTTTGAAATATAAAAGGGGGACCTCTTTTCAAGCACAGAACAACAGATATACAGATATTCTGTATAATCATTCCATAATTGTTCTCCATTTTTCTCCATTTGTTCTAATGGCTGTGATAGCAGTCAATCAAAGAAGTCATGTAGGCAGTGCATGTGCATGATACAGCTACAGAAAACAAAAGTTTAACCCGAAGAAATTGATCTCTCTTGTGATACTTCGAGATTTACCTATTAATTGCTTGCCTGTGGTTTCAGACCCGAGAAAAGCTATCCGAAATCGCACTAGAAAATCCTCCGCCTTCAGTCAACCGTCTGATTTAGTCAGCCTGGGCTATCAGTGCCATCGCCAGCTCATCTATAAATACATCTGCTTTCACAGCGTACACATTCTGAAACTTGCCCGTTGCCTCCTCCCAAGAGCAGGGCTGTACCTTCTGCTATGAGACAAGCCCGGCTTGACCAGAGCCAACATGAACCCAGCCTAACGCGCCAAGCCCATCCCTTGTTGTTAGCTTTGATAGTCGCTGCTATCACTTGATAGTTCGCTTGTAGCCGGTCCAAGTTGGCAGTGTCAGCCCGAGCTGATTGGAGCTGCAGACATTTTTGCTGACTGGAGTCATGCTATCTTTGCCAGTTTGCTGGAATAGACACAGACACTGATTGGGTCATGCTGAAAACATTCCTGTCCTATGAAGCAAGTCTGTTTGTATTTTAGGTTTGCCAGGACTAATGAATTAAAAATCTTGGGCTCGCCACAGTTTGCTGCTTAATAATGCCTGTGACAGAAGGATTTTTTCCTCCCTGAAGCGTGACAGCATCATAATCCCTCGTCACTGGCAAGGAGAGGAAGGAAAAGCGGAATTGTGGAGAAAAGCGGAAAAGGGTGATCTTTTGGGACGGCAAAGCCTATGGGAAGTGCAGGTAGCAGCATGTTGCCCTGACAGCTGTCTCAGCTTCTCAGACCTTGTCAGTTTGTTGCTATGCAGCAGGTGCAGCCTTTTCTTTTATTGAAGCTTTACTCCATAAAGGCAACGACAAGCCAAGGCAGTGGCTGGCCCTGGATTATACAAGTGCAGACACTCCGCTAAGTGAGGTAAGGCAACAGGTGTGAAAACTGAACTAAATTGATAGAGCTCTAACAGCACTTAATCTGAGTTCTGCTGCAGATTTTTTTATGGAGAAACAGCAGCCAGTTCTATAGGCAATTGTTGTGAAGAAGAGAGCTGCTCATTAAATCTCATCAGGTTCCAGGTTGCCCACTCACCCTCATCTCTGTCTACAGAGAAATTGTTCTTCATGCATGGAGAAAGCAGGTGTGGAATTGGGGGCAGTCTGTCTGCGTGTTTCCTGTATCATCTCGTTCGCACACAGGCTGCTTCCATCCCTCTCCGTTCTCTGTGATTGCTTTTTGTGATGAAGAGCTTGAGGATTCTGGACAAAAAGGAGTGAAGGCATAAATGCAATATAAAAAAAAAAATTGATAGCAGGGTAATTGCTGTGTATGAGGATGAGGGTTTTTTATTTTGTGGATTGGAATAAAATGAAAACTCTCTTTTGTGTTATGATAGAATTCACCATTGCTTATTGAAGGGGTATTGATTTTTGCTCTCACATAGTAGGCGGTTAAAAGAGGTAATTTAAAGACATTGCAGACCACAGAGTATGTGGCTGGGATAAGACAACATATTTACTCCTAGCAATATTGTTATGGCAACTTTAAAAACTCTAGCAGAATGCATCATTTTAGCTTCTTAGGCTATGATATGAAATGTTAGGTATATTCTTGTGTGGGAGACCACCTGAGACAGTAAGCAGATGTCAGGGGGATGTGTACCACCAAAACAGAATGATGAACAGCCTTCTTTCAACAGTGTGCTTATCACTTGAAATATCTTTTTTTTTTTTTTTTTTTTCTTTACCTTGTATTGGGAGGTATGGAAGGGAAATATGATAAAGAATTTTGGATCTGTAGTTCTGTTGTTTTTTAAAAACAATGAGATGTCTCAGATGTTTCTTATAAAGTGAAGGTCTGGAGGGGAAAAATATCAATAATGCTCAGAAGGTAAAAGTTATTTAGTCTGATGCAATGGACTTCAAAATAGAATATTTCAGTTGACTCCAAAGATCCTTTCCTGAGTCCAAAAATACACATTGCGGCAGTTTAGTAGACTTTTCTTTGTCTTTGCCCAATAGATATAACTTCAATTTTTGTATGTCTTGATTATTAATCATGGGGAATAAAGAACAATCCCTGATATCTTTCATGTGTTACTAGAGAGAGACACACTCGGCTCTGAATAAAATTTATTCAAAGAAATTATTTTAGATTATTTGTTGTCATTTTAAGAAAAGATTATGCACTTCAACTAATAAATTCTTGTGCAGCATTGCTATAGAGTAATGGTATCACTCTGCTAGCTAAATATTAAGACAAATAAAACAAATAAAAAATAGATGCTGAAATTAATGGGCCAAATGCAAATTTGATACTCTTCCACTGTTTACAAGGTGGTGATGCCAGGGAAGTGTTTGATTCACTTGTGCATCACCAAGGAAGATTATAATCCTGAAATATTGTTCTGTTCTATTGACTTTATGAGACTGCCAAATAATTAAGTGTAAATTAGAATGAATTGCTGGGCTTTCCATACAATACAATAGCTACTTTACTGAAAAACTGCAAGACTATTGCCTTTGGAAAATGGTTTTTAGAAACTAGCTAAATGCTCTGTTGTCTACTGACGTGTGGTACAACTTTTACTAAATTCATTGTATTTTCCTGAGGAATCTGTTTTCTAATTGACTGAGGATTTTTTATGGTAATTTAAAAGCTACTCTTGTAATTGTCCACATAGTTGGTATGGATACAATGCACTCTGGATAGCATAGTCTTCAGTCCTAAAATAATTTCTTTATGGGCAGATCTTTTGCGTGCATGAAGTCCCACTGACTTCACGTTCTCCACACATGGAGCTAATCAGAAGATTACTATCTGTGAATTTTAGCAGCTTTATGCTAGATATACAAAGAGATTAAGTTTGTGTTCAGCTATTTAATAGAGTTTAACCAAAACCGTTGATTCAAAATGTTAAATATACATGTAGAGCTCTGAGTACAACTTTTGAGTGTTCAGAGATGCTTTAATTGTACCATTAGGGATCAGTAGTAGCTAATTCTTTTGTTGCTAAACAATTGTTTAGTGCCCTGCTTGAAATGAACTAGCAGTTTTCTTAATGGACAGGGTTTCATCTCAGTAAAAGCACTTTCTGGAATTGGTGGTCTCAGAAGAAAGCCCGAGGACTGAGCAAGGTCCCGATCCAGGAGTCAAACCCATGCAGATAGAGCCCTACACCTGCCCAGAGTTCCAGTGAAGAATCACCACCAAGGTTTGGAGACCCCGTAACTTTCTGACCACTAAGTGTGTGACTGTGAGGCAGAGTTTGACTGGGGGAGTATGGGTGGAAGGTAGGAGGATGGGTACCTCCCCATTGACACCCTGTGGAGTGGTGTGCACGTTTCCAATCACATGGCAGGCTTGGGGTCGTGTTACTCTCAACTCCCCACCCCTTCTTCCTTCTTCACCTTCAGAACCCGGCAGCATTGCCACGAGTCAAGGCTTGCTGAAGGGGCAATGGCGGGGAGCAAGCAGGTGAGGAGAGGGGAAGCTTCCTTTGCCATCGTTCTTTCTAACCTGTAAATAGCAAAAGAAAGGCAGTCTCTGCACTGAATTTCACTTAAATCCTTTTTAAATGGAAAAATGAGATGGCGCTCCCTTGACTTTGATTCTAAACGCTGCTTAGCTAGAATGAGAATGCTTCTCATGTGAATGCATAAGAAGCATTAAAACTCATTTATTGAATGGTGTCACATGGTCTATAATGAATATATTGTTTGTATTGTTGCAGCTGGAACAAACAAGTAAAAACATTGACTCAAGTGCCCACATGATCACCACCGCCAGGGTACCTGCTGATAAGCCAGTACGAATTGCCTTCAGCCTGAATGACTCCCCAGGTACAGTTCAATTTATGGAGTAAACCACAATGAAGTAATTGCTTTTAAATTTTACATGTTCTTAACCAGTGTTTACAATATCAAATGGAGTCCAGTATTATGTATGGGTGGGTTTTTTTCCTGAGTGGTAGCATGTGATCATTTTTCCTGTCTGATAACTTTTAATGTTTCCATTAACGATTTCATTAGACTAAAGCCACTAGACTGACAGTTTAGATCTTAGCTTTCTTTTAGTGGTTTATGGAATATACTTAGGACTGTAATTAACTGTCACATTTATCTGCATATGCAGTATGTCTGATTTAAGGAATTTTACAACAAGGAAAGTAAAAGGACATTTTGTACTGAGGATGAGGCAGGATGAGGCTAGAGCAGGAAGAGACTTTCCCTTCAGCAGGAAGGTTGGAAAGTGCCACACGTGCCCAGCTTGGTGAAAGGTTTCAGGAAACGGATGCCCCACATGGCATGTTCCCTGAGAAAGCAGCAGAAATTTCATTGAGGCTTATCCTGTCAGCTAGTGCTGATGGAGCATTAATTTCTCCAAACATGCCCTGTAATACATGGACCCTCTGGCCTTTTGAACAGATGGATATTCTTAGTTTGCACCTTAAATATTATTAAGGTCTAGAGAGCTGTTGCCAAATGGCAAAAGACAGAATGAAGTAAAGTAAATTGGAAGCTGGGAAGCATCCCAAAAAAGGTTGACTGTGCCGTTGCTAAAGGTGAGCACCTCAACTCAGGGTTGAGATGTGTTTATGGCATGAAATATAAGAATCTCTGGTAATGATAACTGAAACTCACTGTTGATGAGTGCTTTATGGGATGGTATGCATTGCAGCATAACGTGTGAGGCCACTTCCTGAGCTCTGTGTGAATAGAGTCTCACCTTAAATACAACTTTCTCATTTTAAAAATATTTTAGAATATGCATTATCTTTCCTAGCTGACTGTAGTTTAACATTAATTTGCAGCTACAAGACTGAAATAGAATCTCATTCTCTAAGTGAATTTAAAAACAAACATCTTCATATGTTATTGCACATAACTTTCAGCTCCTAAAGATGAGTGGCACAGAAATACTGGGACAAGGAATATAAAGTGGCACATGTTGCTATCTATGTACCCTTTTTCATAAAACAAAATAATCTGGTAATTACATTTTTAATATAAAAAGTAATAAGGAATCATTCTCATCTCTCAAGATATAGTAACATGGCAAATTTCTTACAGGAATTATGGCAAAGATAGGTTTTGAAGAGAAATGTAAAAGAAAGGGGACTGCTCTTACAAATTATGGAAAAAAATGCTTATGTGAGACATTGAAAACACGTCAGGGAAAGCTGAGACCATGGGAAAATCAAAGAGGGTAGAGTGGTTTGTGACAAGAGACGGCAGTAGGAAATGACAAGGTTGTGAATAGCTTGGAAGAAGAGGACATGAAAGGCAGGAAGCCCAGCTTCCTTAACATTGCATCATACTTTATTTTTTACTTTTCTATCCTGGTAATAATTTCAGCCTCTCTCTTAACATTTAGAGAAATAAACTCAATTACAGAAAGGTAGTCTTTTTCTGCTACATTTTGTTAAACTTTTCCATGATTTTGAGTCCTTTATTGTATATATAAAAGTGTTCCTACACTATGCAATCCAGGATCTCTCTGAATACTGATAAAACTAAATAGCAAATAGCAAAGTGAACCTATACTGATAAAACTAAATAGCAAATAGCAAATAGCACATCCCCTTGGGGGCTACCAGGAGGTCTAAACCCACAGAGTGTTTTACCACGTCACAAGAATTCCGCTCTTGCTCTTAGTGATAAGCCTGAACATGGTTATTATATTTGATATATTTTAAGAAGGCAAAGGAAATAAACTTTTATCAGGTTTGAAAATCAAGAGTACAAGTAAGTGTTTAACACTTTTTTTTTTAAGATGAGTAGCAAAAGCTTTTAGCAGATAGACCTTTAGGTATTCCATACTTGGCTTTTTTTTCCCTCCTTATTTTTTTAATATTTCTTTAGTCTTTTTTTCTCCTTGGCAAGGATATTTGTTTTCAGTTCAAACAGGAGTTAGCTGATGTAAGTGTGATAGTAAAGCATCAGGTGAGGCTCATGTAGTGCAAGGGTGTATTCAAAAAGTTCTTCACCAGGGCTAAGTGGTGAGGGAATCTGTCTGACTTAAGCTTTTCCTTCCATTTTACCTCACTTAAAAGGCACAGTGACAGATTTCACCAAGAAAGGCTGCATTCTCCTTCCGTAGGCTGTACAACTGCTTACTAGGAGGAACTGGCAGCATAACTAGATATAAAAAGGGGAATTGGAATGTTTCTTCTGGGTGGTGATTATCTCACTGGCTAGGATTGTAACCAAGCAGTGGGTGTGAGGAGCAGCGAAAGGAGAAACTACTCTCAACTCATAAGAAGAGATTACTTTGTGTTAACTGACCTACAAGATTGGAGTTGGCTTTGCCTGAGTGTACAAGAAATAATTTAATTGTGTTAATATTATTTGTCAGTCAACACCTGATGACTGAAATCCTGGCCAGCTTTCTGCAGTATTTTTAATGTGAAAGTAAGCTAACCAGTTCCTTAAAAGTCTCAGGAGCAGCCCATCAGCGGGTGCTATATAAGAAGACAGTTTTATTGTGTATCTCTTATTCCTGTATATATAGATTGCTATGTTTGGCTCTTTTACTCAAGTTCACTAAGCTGGCATCAAACATAGGTTTCCCAGGGTGTGTCTGCACACCATAATGCACCAGTTTGACTTAAGCTACCATTTTAAATTAATGAATTTGAAACGTATTATCATATTATTCAGCCTCTTTTATATCACTTGAAACTAATGCAAATTAAAGTGAATATGGTGTTCCAAAATTTAGTGTTCCAAAATAGAAAGTTTGTTGTAGTTTATCAACATCATTTTAATTAAACCAATGAATTCAATTTGTCCTAATTCATATTGCTAACTCTTATTTACCGAACATATTAAGATACAATGATTATAAGAGGAATTGTATTAAATTTAGACAAGTGGATCTGTTTTGTATAATAGTTCTAGGGGAAGGTTTACAGGTAAACATCTCTTCGCCTTCCCTCCTAGAATAAAAGCTTGAATCTAGCTGAAAGGTTCTGCCAGTGACATGTGATGATAAATGACTGGGTTTGAAATTGTAAGTAATTTCTTTTGTTTGAAATTAGTCTACCTCTGATAGCACTCTTCAGAAGAATCACTGATAACAAAGGCAAACCATAAATCTTCTAATAAAACTGACAGACAGTGGAACAACGTAATATTTCTGCAAGCATAGCAAATTGCTTATTTTACTCCTTTAACACCTTTGTTATCCTAGTGGCCATGAAGAAATTTTTTTCATTCATAGTTGATCATGCAAGACTCTTTTGCAATGGTTGCTTCTTCAATAGCAACCTTCAAATCCCTAATCCATCCTCATTTTTGCTGCAATGGCAACAGAGGCTTTTCAGCAGATAATGTATTGATTGAAAACCAGTGAGGGTTGCTAAAATATATGGCTAAAATTTACAAAGCTAGTTTCCTAAAACTACACCCAACTTCAAGTAAGTGGCTTGATCTTTGGGAAATTAGACAGGAACTTAGGTGAGATACTCTCAGAACAATAGTGTCTGTGCATTCCTCAGTCTTAAATGAAGGTATATGGAGTAGGAGAGTTTTGCTCTTATGATTTCTGTTTTGGGCCATTTCTATTTTGGGGAGGCCCACAACTCTTATTATTGAGCAAGCCTTCATAGCCTATTCCTGGGCGAGGCAGTGACCATTCCCCACTATTTTACAAGTGAGGTAACTGCGAGGTTGTGTGAGGTCATGTCAGGCAGGGCTGTGAATAGAAGCCCGGGAGCTTCAGGCGGCAGTGCCAAGTCTCAGTCACTTAGCCACACAGCCTTCCAGGACAAACTCGATGAGTCTATGCTTATCTGTCAGTAACCAGGGCTGGAGCTGCTGGATCTCACCACCCTCCTAGGACCAAGACTGGACCCGGTACACCGTTTTCCATTGTTGTCCAGCTCCGAATTGCAGTGCTTGCAGTTGGGTTTGAGCACTTTTCCTGTGCGAGGGCTGATCCACTTACAGGATAACAGCCTACTTATGTTACCAATTTAATTCTTTAATTTAGGAGGAAGAGATCTGAACACACTTGCCCACGCACGTAGGAGAAAAAAATAGTACCTGATTGTATAATTAAAGACTGGATCATAACTCAGTTACTCAAGGAAGCAGAGCCGTGATTGGCATTTCCTAAATTTTGAGTGCTTGATTTAGCAACCTTAATGTGCTTTCAACACATTTAAATTTTTATGTTCTATTTCTGTCTATCTTTGCGAAGATCCTAGAGAAACTGTAATTTGTGAGTTTGTACTGCAAGTAAATCAGATGTTGTTCTTAAAGTATTTATTCATTAACTATCACCCATAGCCCACAGCTCAGCTAAGTGGAGCAGCCATATAGGAAGAGACTGGGGTGTTCATTGTCCCAGACATCGTGTCAGTCAGACAGCCGAGAGTGAGGGATTTTGCTTGTTCATCTACACGATGGAGGTCTGGGCTATTGGAATCTCCAGAAAGCTGGAACATGATTAAATAATTAAAGCCTTCCAGAAGGCATGACTCATTCTCAAATGTGCAACACTAATATATAGCAGGGGACTGAATGTATGAGGACATCACTGATAAGTAGTAAACCTTTTGTATGGAGACAAGCAGTCTTAATACAGTTCAGCCTTCTAAATCAGATGGCTTGTGTGGATCTCTATCGCACAATACATTTGTATTAGTAGGTGCTGTCAGCAGATAGACAAGAGCTCATCTGGACAGTGAAGGCTGAGCAGCTTAGCCTTGCTCTTCTTACACAAAGCTGCCCTTTTCAGCATTTCAGCCCAAAGGTGCGTTGGCTGCGCAGCATACTTAGGGAGCTTGTTCTTTTGTTACGCTGTTAGTTTTTCTGTAGGAATGGTCAGAGAGCTGGCTCTGACATAGAAGGGTACTTTGTCTCAGCTCAGTTGATGGAAAGCAAAAGGAGGAAGTGATTTCCCCAGGGACCCTCCCTCAGATACTCTCTGTTATAATGGGTTTTTAGTAACAAGCAAAGCAAATGTATGACCCTGATGAAACAAACATGAAAGTCAAACTATTCCATACACATGAACCAAGTTTTTGGTTAAAAAAACATCAACTGCATGTGTGTGTATCTTGTAATCAGGGTACAGGTCTTTACCTTTAGTGCACTTTTAAATAGGGTCATCATGCAACAGATACTTTAACTTAGGTGGCTGTGATTAAGTCCCTGATCTGACTCTTTCACATCACAGGTTCATGCTATTGAGTTTTCTGGGATGGCCATAACAATTACATGTATGTTTTTCCTCATTTCTTGTTCTGTTTTGACCAGAATCTTGACTCATTTTCAGGTGCAGCAAGCTGCAGTCTCTGATTTTTTTATATATTTTATTTTTAAACAAAATATATTTTCAACAACCATCCTGAATTATACATCCTTTGCTTTACAAGTGACTGGGAAGGGAACAGAAAAATAGTGACCACAGGGATGAGATGCTGTTTTTATCTGGTGATTAATCAGCCTAGTTATTTTCAGGGTTTTGTGGTACAGAAAAGCCACTAACTTTTTTATGAAGGGGGGTGTCTTTGATTATATCAGTGATTCCTTATAACAATCTAAGAACTCATTAAATACTGATAATAAATTGGTAAAAAGAGAAAAAGAGAAATTTCTGAATTCTATTGTCTACTTAAGGAGATGTAGAATATAAAAGAACATATACAGACAGATAAGGAGATAGTTGAGAGAGTGTTTTGATCTTCAGAACTTTTTCTTTGACATTTCAGGCATTTTCAATGTTTCTGATTTTCAGAGTCATAGATTTTTAAGACTAGAAGCCAATGTGATTTTGTCTGATCTCCTGCCTAACACCCAGTGTTCAAGCTTGTAAGGGCAATAGTGATTCTTTTGGAAGAAAATGAAAGAGTTTATCATTCTGCTTGACTTTCTGAAAATATTCTCAAAAACATTTTACGAGCCAAATAACTGCTGTCATTTGCTTTCCCGTTGTGTGAAATCTAAACATGCTCCATTTTTACACAGTGATTTTTGTTGTTGCTGTTGTGGTTGTTACTTTGACAACAATAAAATACAGACTGACTTGATGCAGTAATTTATTTCACTGGAAGCTGTGGGGAAAGTTTTTTGTTGTTCTTTTTGTGGGAAGAAAGATTGCAGGTAGATTTGAGGATTTCTGTTATTTTTTGTAAACTGGATGCTTCAGCTGAAAATTTCAAAGGAGCATAAGAGAATTAAGAACTCAGAAAAATTTCAAACCACTGAAGTCTCTGACTTTTCTTGATGATGTTCTGCACATCAGATGATGATTTAAACAGGCCTTAAACTAGCATAACTAAAAAAAACCCTAGCAGCTGTTCAATAGATGCTAGGGCAGGCCCATTATAAAATGTACTATGGTATGCCATAATGGTTAGGATACCAATATGTTCTATTTTTAGTACCATTGACTCAGTCACTTGAGTTCAAAAAATAAGCATGGAACATCTGTTTATTGAAAGGATTTCCTCTATAGTAATTTCTCTCTCTAGTCCATCATTTTTAAAGTATTTCCAAACACTTTTTTTAGTGGTTCTTTTCTGAAAACAATCCAGTGTATTTTCTGATATTCTGACTGCATTAGTTTTGTTTGCTTGTTACTAGCCAATGCATTGAAAAAGCAATTATTGTCTGATGTTTCCTTAAAATTCTTGGGGTTCCTTTCGCTTTGCTTTTCTTAAGTTAAAAATGTTTGAGATCCCTCCTTAAAGCTACTGCACCAAAGATTGTGCTGGTGGAATTGTCAAAACAAATAGCAGCTTAACTGCTGTCCACGACTCTGGTCCAATATCTCTGTCAGAATATTTAACAGCTATTCAGCCAAATATTTGCAGAGCAGCTGTACCCCTGGGCGGACTGAGTCCTATTCCGTCCTTCCTTTTAGCCTTGCCATATGATTCATCTTTCTTCTTTTAGAATGTTAATCTATTTTTAAATATTGTACAAGAAAGCAACAGCAAATCAAAGGTAAACACTTGCATAGCAGTGTGATACAGTTCTATACAATTAAAGTATTTTTCAGAATGGACATGTTTGTGACATAGTGTGAAATAATGAAGGGGGCAGTGGGCAGGTATGGTCTTTTGATAATACTAGCAAGACCCCTCCCCCATGAAAATACAGGACTTTGTTTTCCGAGGAAGTTCAAAAGCTTTTGCTTTTGCCCTCTGTATTACTTTTATATAATTTTTTTTCCTTCTCTGGGCATCACATCTTAGAGATGCCCAACTCTAACTATGTTAGTTAAAGTAAGGCTCTGATTGTATGTTAGACGGTATATTTATTCTTCATATTCTTCATAGCACAAGGGAACTTATTTTACTTTTTCCCCCTAACCTACTTTGCTGTACGACCACCAAGAGCAGGATAAATAGATGATAAATATTTGACAAATAATTTAAATCCTGTGCTCTTTAAGTATATTCAGAATCCTGCTTTGATATGTGGTCCTCTTAATTTTGTTGGGGTTTTATTGTCGGGTACAAGCTGGCCAGCATAGAGCAGGTTGCAGGATCTGACCTATGTTAGTAATTTTCTCCTACGAGAGCCATCCTTGTTTAATTTTGACACATTACAAATAAGTGACTCTGTAAGCTAGCTAATAGTAACCTTCCCTTCACCTCTCGTAACCTGTAGTAAGATGCATAAACAGTCATCACAATCCAATGCAAAACAGATAGTGTGAAAGTCACTGAGAAAGAAATATTGCAGTGGCTAGCTGTGATGCTACCAAGTATGATTCATATTTCTGATCTCGGTCCAACTACTAGTGGGCAGGTGTCCACATCACAACACTGACGTAACTGGCACAGCCTGTCCCACCTTTGCTGGATGCCCATACTAAAAATAAATAAATAAATAAAAACACAGTTTGGCTTGTCGTCATGAATGAGCTAACTCTAGCCCATAAAGATTGTTACGTACAGATTAAAGACATTTCTTTGCAGTATGGAGAAATTTCTGATGCCTTCCCTGTTCTAATCACATCTGTGTAGGTAACAGTCTTCTAGTTCCAGGGTTGCCAGGCTGGTTTGTATGTTTTTGTGGTGGGACAAAAGGTTTCTGTTATTGTTGGTTTAGCCCTGATAAGTCACTGTATTACGATGGGGAAGATATCTTTCTCTTCATTCAAATGATGAACTCTTTGGTAGTGAGAATGCTGTCCTTGGAAAGTTCTTTACTTCGCAGCATAATGGAGAGCTCAGGAAGAAAGACTGTTTAGATTTATTGTTTTTATTAAATTATCACATGTTCTATTGTGCTAACTGGCTTTGTTTTGTTTCTTAATCACTGCAGTATGAAATAGGCTTTCTATCTTTCCAGCACCTAAACATTTTCTCATTGCCAACACATTACTGTTTTCAAGGAGTCTGTTAAGGTATCTCAAGAGGAGGAAGATAAGCAGATGTGGACGTGATTGCAGGATCCCAATATTATTGTGAATATATGCTATGTAGAACTACATTAAACAGATCATGTGAAATACCCGTTTTGGTAGACATTGACATTTAACATCATATTTACCTTTTAGATGATGCTTCCTCTGAAAACTTCCCTTTGGCATTTCCAGAACTAGATCAGCAGCTGCAGGTAAACTTTATTTTTAACTACAATTCTGCTTCACATTCACTGTATCTGTTATGACAAAAAACCTCTTGTTGTTAAACTAAGGTGAAATTTTTCAGTGGTGCTTCTCTAACCTATTAACATTTAATGAGAGTATATTTCCATAGAAGAAAATATTGTCTTTTCAAGATATGCAGAAAAATTGATTTGACATTTTTAATCCAATTGCAGGGAAATTACTATTTTAATGATCTCAGCTGCTTTTTAAATTTTTTATAGCTCCTGTGCAAAACACAGCATGTAGTGCTGCTCTGCAATGGAAAGAGTTCTTACGGTTTTGATGGGAGAAGGAATGAGACAGGTATATTGTATTCTCATGCCTACAGGCTCTCCTAAGACCGGTATGATCAGCTTTCTCTGAAGCATTGCAAGAGAATGCAAAGGTGTTACTCTGTAGTGCCATTTTATCTCTAATCTTGGATAACTAAAGCCAGTCATCAGGATTGATGAGAGCCTCCACAAAGTTGCTCTAGTTCATGCTGCACAGGCAGCAACCCTAGCAGTGTCTGCAGACAGCAGGGGATAAAAGTGGTGAATCCTTTTGTGACTGGTCCGATTTGTCAGCAAAGCACAACAGAGCCCCGATATACTGGACAATCAGACGGCAGTTGATGGCAACTCCATGGTTCACCAGGCAGAGAGCCAGCTCTGTATCCAGGGATTATTTCCCTTTCCTCTGTGGCGGTTCTGGAGTGTTTGTTGGCTTTTGTAAACTACTTCAGATCATCTGTTTCCCAGGAGCATTTAGACTTCCTCTGATATTTCAATATGAAGGCAGTTGTTTCCTGAGTGTAAATTGAGAAAGGCATTAGCAGACCGTGTTGTCCAATGATGTCATCCTTCCTGTCCCCATCAACTAGTGAGAGGGCTGCTGACTTAAAGGACTGACTTTTCTCTCCTGCTGCTCTCATCAGAAGGATGACTGAGGAAGGAATGGGGGATGACAGATACCCTTTTTGCTCTATCCCTCTGATCCTGAGAATAGGGGCAGGTTCCTTAAGCACAACTCCGAAAGATTAAAGGAATGAATAGCAAACTAAGATTCGGACTGAAAGTATGTTGGCCTTTTTATTCCACCGGTCTTCTGGTACAGCACACACAATTGATATTTTTTTCCCTCAGAATAATTCAATTTGAGAAAAGCAATATTGTTTTGTGGCTGAAGCACTGAACTGAAGGTAAAAAACCTGTATTCTGTTTCCAACTCTGTCAGTGACACATTGTGTGATCTTGGAGGAGTTGCTTCATCCATCTGCTCATCTCTGAAATATGGTTAATAATTTTTACCTTTTTGTTAAAGAGCATTGAGATCAGTGGGTGAAGACTGCTGTAAAAGAGCAAAGTATGATTATCATTTTGCTGCTGGTACATAAAAACAAAATTACTAGTGCTAGATGTAGGTACTTTACAGGCCGAGAGATGATTTTTTTATTAGGACTTTTATGACCCATTTCTGGAACATACAATGCACTTTAAATGTGTAATTTCATGATAGACTGAAACTGCTCCTCTGGAAGCATTCAAGTCTGCTTGATATTATAGCCCTTCAGTAAAAGTTTTTTAAGTATTCACTAGAGTAATTCCACTAAGTACACCCTCTTGGTCTGTTAAGTACCTGACATTTTTTTCAAGAGAACCTTCCTTTACTCTGATGATCTCAATATGATAACAAACTCAGAGAAACAATCAAAGGCTTTGATTCAGATTATGTTCTTTTTATTATCCTTCAGAAACATTTTTGTTAATATTGAGATAGTTGAAAGGAAGACTTATGAGGACTATCTGGCTGACTCAACCACTCAAAAGTATAATGTTAGTGGTAGTGCTTCATCTTTTACCTTTTCAAGCTTATGTGCATATTTATATTTAGATGCCTTTATGTTCAACCAGAGGCAGTTAAGTCAACACAGGATTCTGAGCTGATGCAGAGGTGACAGCATATTTAGCTTTAGCAATGAAGACTTGAATTTCCTTCCTTTTGTCCATCTGGATCACAGTTTAAAGTTATCACTATTTAATGTAACCATGTTGTTTATACTGCTTTAAAATTTCAACCAAGCAATAACTGCAATAAAGTTATCATTTACCTAGTTACATTTTCTTATTAATTACTTTTCAAATTGCTGTTATCCAAACTGCTGAGGGTAGGTCAGCCCTTTGTAGCATGTGGTTGCACTTCACACTAACATAACCTTACCAGCTTTGAAACAGGGAGCTCCTGTATTACAGAAGCAAACTGCAACGTGGGCTTCACCAGGACTTGCAGAAGGACTAAATGGTGGTGTCCCTTGTCATTCCATCCATGCTTTTCTCTATCCCAACGTTAGCTAGTATAAAGCAGCACACATGAAGTGTCGTGTAAATGAACCCTATAATCAACTGTGACATAGCAGCCTGCAATGCTTGAATTTGTAAGAATGCTGGTACGTATTTCCATAATAAGACTATCACATCTAGAGCCCCAAGATTTTCATCACCATGCCATAAATACAGTCAAAAGAATTTGTATTTTATTTAAAGAAGCAAAGTAGAAATGCTGGGTAGGTGGCTATATAATAATAGGCATGTAAAAAAAAAAAGTAATAACTTCCCAGGTTTCAAACATATAAAGGAAAATTCTGAAACTTGTTTTAAAAAACAAACAAACAAAAGACTGAATTAGCTGATCTTCAGGTTGGATTTTGAAATCAGCTTGAAAGCTATGTAAGTTCACTGAGTGACTTGGAAAATCAGAGCCTTAGAATTCTGTGCATGCAGGCAGCAGACCACAGCCCGAGTACCAAGCAATTTGCACCTCTGTTTTAGGCTGCAAGCCCTTGTCCTTCTATGTTAGGCCTTGGCAGACAACTTGGCTGTTTGAGCAGAATTACCTAGTGTTCCCACTTTTCCTACCACGATCCTACCATACCTACTCACTGGGCACCGGTATCCGATGGCAGGGCAAAGTTCAGTGCAGCCTCCCCCGGACAGGGTAATAAACCCCGCTGTCCAAGCACCCCTGCCAACTCTACAGAAGTAGAGGTAGGATTGGCTGGAGACAAGGTATTTCTAGGAGACTAACTGCAAATAGCTAATTCTCTATCGGGACTCTTGCTAGAGGATGATCCTAGTTGGAAGTTATGGCTTCTTTCTGATGAATAAAAATGATCAGGCTGATGTTCTGATCTACTAGCTGAGATCAGACCCAAATTTTTTTTTTCCAACTACCCTTTTGGATATTACATTTTTCTACTACTCTGAGAGGAACAAATTCCAAGAAGCAATTTGTAAGAAAATAATATCAATTATTTTCTAGCTCAAAAGTCTTGGTTTTTGTTTGTGGTTTTTTTTTTTTAACTTAAGAAAATAATTAGTGTGTGGTCAGTGAGACACAAAAGCCCTACATTTGACAACAGAGCAGTTTAAGTGATATGCAGGAAAAGCCTAGTCTCTTGCAGCTTCATTATTAAAAAAAACTACGAAGAAGTTCCTGATATGCTACCAGCAAAACAAAGCTCGTATTAACAAACTTCTCGATTTCAATTCCTTTTGTTTGCAGTATTGGAAATTATTCGCTTCCCACTGATGAGCAACACTTTGAATGAGGATAAAGCACTGGCTTATTTGGGCTTTGGTATCGTTTCCCCCTCTCCCCCCCCCTCCTCCTTGTGTGAGCAATGTGGTGGGTGCTGCAGCAAGGGTAGGCTTGGTACATTTGTCAGTTTGTTATTGGGAAACCTTAACCTTTGCCTGGTGTAAAAGTTGGACTCGGCCTTGGAAGGCGCTTCCTTGATTAGCTGCGTAGTGGGTGGTGGCCCCTCTGACAGACACTCTACTACGGGTTATCTGCTATTTTTAGACACCTACATCAGCATCTAAGGCCTTGTTGTTTGGGTCACTGAGTATAGAGGAAGGTATCTAGTGTTAAGTACCCGCATTACTATGCCCTGTGTGCTGTCTGTCCTGTTCCAGCATTTCCTGTGGCTTGCTCAGTTCGTCTCCCTCTCTCTTCTCCGTCAAAGTCTTTATTCCAGGTGGGAGTTTGATCCTGAAGAGGGAAGAACACAAGTCACATACGGATGCATAGGTTGTTCTGTAATTTTTTTATCACCTCTTCTCATGAAATCGTGAGCTTGGGAGATGCATTTATGTCATATTTTGCCTTGCGAATCTGTTGAGATCAATGGAGTCGGATGACTGTAAAATTGCTGCAACAGAGAAAAGGCACCAGCTATTTATGATATCAGTTTCTTAAGTCAAGGGGTAGGTTTTCATGCTTTAGTGGGAAATGTCTATACAAAAGACACAACGAAAATATTATGAAAGGGACAGTTTGTTGTGTGTGATACAAGCATTTAGCAGAAAGCTTGTTTACTCTGGAACTTTAATAATGGAACTATTGCTCCTGCTGACTGCCAAGACTCTTGTTAGAACACATGCAAATTATATTAGAAAGTTCAAAAGTATACCATTTTTTTAAAAGGGTATGCTGTATCTTTTTAATATGTATTAAATTCCAAGATAATTCCGAGAGTACTGTGGTACTCTATAATTAGATTTGATTGCTTATGAACTTGATAAGTCTCCTGTAATGCTGCTGTGATAACTATGATCTTATCTTAGATTATGTAAGATATGGGTGTTTACAAAGTCAGAGCATCATATTAAAGTTAGAAAAGAATGGAAAATCTCTCAGGAAACTCTCAATTGCTCTCATCCAGTTGACTTGAATTGTTTGGAGGAAAGTGAAGTGCTTACTTTCATAGTAAAACTAGACTAGACTAGCTATATCATAGACTAGATATCTGAAACTGGTTGAAGAGTTCTACTTGTGCAACAAGAAGGGTAGCTGCAATGTGCAGCTATCACTCTTGCTTGGAATAATGTGGTTTCTTCCATCGTGGAAGTGTACACAAGGTCATATAGTGAACATGGGCCACATGAAAAATATTGGCACTGAACTTTCTGGTTTTCCAGAATAGTTTAGTTGAAAATTTATGAAATGAGAGACACCACTCTTTAATTAGACCAGTGCTAAAGACTGCCTTCTAGACATGCTTAGCTGCCAGAATTGCATGAAACAATTTTTTTTTTAAACATCAAACTTTTCAGGAGAAAGTTTTGATTTTTTCCTCACAGTAGAACCAAAAAGTAAATGCAAATAAAAGTGATTTAAAAATTAAATTGTTTTAAAGTTTTTGAACACTTGGGTGACACTATGAACTACACAATTTTTGTTGATATGGAATGTTGATATTCATATGGCAAGGCAAAATGCCCTTTGTCATGTAAGTGAAGAAAAAAAAATTACTGAAAACTGTCTTTTTGTGTCCCCCAGCAAAGATTTTAATTAGAACAGCTCCTTCAACCTGTCTTAAAAAACAGGCAGAAATGCTCAGGCTCTTTTTGTCTTTTCATGAACTGCCATCGTATATCATCTTCCAACCTCTTTCATATTTGGATTCCAAAGAAAAATTTAAATAACTAGTGTTATATGTCTTATAAATATGTACATACCTGGGTGCAGTTACAGAATAGTCTATAGCAGGACCTCTTAGTGTCTACTTGCTGGATTCTGTAGAAAGTTTGTCAACGTCACAGTGAGTTTCAACAAAATACAAGGAAAAATCAGACTTTGTTGAAAATTGGGCGTAACAGGACAGACCACTAGTAGGAATAAAAGCTGTAGCTTTTGCACTAGATTTGGGAACAAAATCAGAGATGCTGTGTGCACGTATTTTGCCAGCACAGGAAAATGAGGGTGGATGACACTGAAGCCTGAAATAAGCAGGATTAAAAGTAGCAACTGTTGCCATTAAATATAACTTTCTTTGGCAGGGGTGTTTTTTGCTTATGTAGCAGGTATGCTTTTATATATATTAATTTATGGACAGGCAAGATACTTCATGAAGTAACAAGCTTGGGCTGTTCTAAGGAGAAATTAAAGTATGGCTGCTGGCTTCTGAATGAAAAAAAATATATACTACAAGTTGAACTTTATTAAGGCCTTGTAATTAGTCACCTGGGTAAAGTAGCAAACTCTTACCAAAAAAATACTACACAGACTTAATGGATAAAAAGTGCTTTCTACTGGGAATTCCAGTTCTTTCTGCTGCCATGGGAATGGCTTCAAGGTAACATCTGCAACACTTCCCATGGCCTGGCCACAGGCATTCAACAAAGTCATTCCAGGTGGAATGGAGAGCAGGGAAAGACTGCTTGGATAAGCTAGGGAAAATGGAAATTTCATCTAGGATGCCTTAGGAAAATACAGCTTTACCAAGACATAGGTCTTGGAAAGTATAGAAAACCTTCTGTAAGAACATCTCAGGGGTAAAAGAGGTGGGACAAAGAACCGCCATTTGAATAAAGATGGCACAGCAAAAGGCTATACAACCTGTCTTCAACAAAACCAAACTGGAAGTGAAAAAGTGTTTCTAATCCTTGCTGAGGCTTTGGGCCAGTCTTAAAACTGAGGCTGGGGACTTCAGTTTTTCTGTGACAGAACTGGACAAGCCTGTGATTTGCAGGGTTTGCTTCTGATAACAGGGGACTTGACTCGCTGATTTTGCAGGTTCCTCCCATTCCCTTTCAGATGAGCATGGGCTAGTCCATTAACTGTTACTGGTCTGTTATTCTCTTTTCTGTGGAAATATGTTAATACAGTAAATGTCTGCTGGCGAGTTGAAGATACTCCTTTGGAACAAGCAAGTTTTGCCTCTGTTCCTGCATTTTTTTTTCAAAAGTTTGCCCTGCCACCTTCTGAAAACTCTTCTCGTGGTGAGAACAGATATGTCACTAATTCTTTGCTCTCTTATTTATGTCCAAAAAAGTAGGCTGTTAGACATGGGTAAAATAATTTCTCTGTTGGCTTGCATTTTCTGGTGGGCAGCAAATAACTAAGCATACTTGTATCTCATTATATTTTTCTCACCATTTTGCAGTCGAGGTGTTTGTTAAATAATGAATGTGTAAGTCTGTTTCATGTTCTGCTGGCCAGACGTTACTCATGGACACTGTAGGTACTATCTCCAAAACCTTTCTTAGAAATTTCAAAATTACAAAAGAACAAACCAAATTGTCCAGTCATCAACTTATTTAAAAACATAATAAAATTTACATTTTAAAGTGAAAATACACTCAAAATTTAAAAGGTCTTGCTATAGTGCTTAACAGCATCAGACAAGATTGAAAAGAATAGTATGAACAGAATATTAGTAAACTGATTGTATCTTTTGTTGTCAGTTTGTTTTGAGTGATAACATATCGATATAAGAAAAAATGACACTGAAGAGGAAACAATGATAGGAAGGGGTTTGAAAGTCAGCAACTGGTTCTAAGTGGGAATTAGATACTAAGTCTCAGCATGACTAGATAATTTTTAGCTCTCTATATATAACTTTTGAGTGGGAAGCTGGAATATAGTAACTGAATGCTGCTTTAATTTTTAAACTGGTTTAAACCAGCTAGATATGCAGAAACTAAGTTGGAAGCAAAAGCAAGTTGTGTTTCTTTTTCTTTTGAAGTATCATTGTTTGGGGACTTTCCTCCTGGGTCAAAATTGTGATCAAAATTGTTTCATTGTGACGCATTTGTTGTTTGCTGATCTCTGGTAGATACCAGAGATGCTACTTTGGCTCACCCTTGCATTCTTGGATTAGAGCACTGAGACTTCTATATTCTGTCTTGTTAAATTTATGCTCATTATTTGGGTGGCTATATGAATGGTGCTATTGCTCATCCACATTGAAATGCAATTAAAAGCCCTTTCCTAAGGACCACATTCATCAAGTAATGAACTGCTCTTTCCCTGGGTTCCCAAATTCTCCAAGCTCAGAGAGAAAGAAATATGTGCTGTGAGACAATTCTGTCAAAGCATTTTCTCATTTAGAACATGGAAAATGAGTGTCTGTTCAAATTTCAGTGAGGAGCCGCATACCATCTACCAGTACCTGCAAGGCCCATACATTATTTACATCTGTGCATTGGGATACATCTGAAGCCAACTTACCCTGCCACCTGGATAAAAGTATTTTTAATCTTTGTCTCTGAATATGTTTAATAAAATTTAAATTTCCATTTTAGCTAAAATAAAGATTTACAAGATCGTGAACAGAAAAAGCCTGGAGACTTGTGCTTTTCTTTTCCTAACAATGTCATTGAAGGAATATTATACTACAGAGAAGAGTCGAAGTAGGACAACAAGAAATAAAAAATAATCTACTTTTATTTTGATGGGCAATTGGATGTTCTTTAACTGGACAGTAAAGGAACTATTTTAAGTGCTTCCTTTTGCTTCAAACAGGTGGCTCAAGCATGCTATTTGGAGTTCATTTACAGTCAATTGATTCATGGCTAATAACTTAAAATACTACACTTCCTGAAAGTGTTCTAGCCAAAATGTGACAGGCAAGCCTGAAGCCTGAATTAGGTTGCATTCTTTTTAAGGAACAAAAAGCGCTGGCATATAATCAAACTGTATTTTCAAATCTTAGTTGAAATTCATATGACTCCCAAGACAGAGTAGTTTTATTTGCCATATTTATTACCTCCAGTGTGCATTGAAAAAAATTTAAAATCTTGCTGCAATAATGTCAGTATTTAGGTTAGGAGGTACAGTGCCTTTGCCTTCATTCTGTCTTTTTAATCTGATTTTTTTTTTTTTCTAATCGCTGACATCCTTCTAGTCAATCTCACCTGTGCTTCTCAGAAATTTAAAACATTTTGCAAATATAGCTGATGTAACTCTCATAACATTTCTGCTAACTAAGTATATCCCCTTCTACAGGAAATGGAGATGCAGGGAAAGTGGGTATGAACCTGAGCAAACTACTGACAGCTTGAGGCACTGGTGGGATAGAACGCGTCATGAAATCTTGTCTGCGCTGGCAACAGCAGTTTAAGTCCTGTTGATTTCAGCAGAATCAGCCCCAGTGTCCCAATTCACAGTCCTGTCCCATTTAGTAATAAACTGGAATAAGCATTGCATCTATGAAAAAAAAAAAAAGAGCATTTAGTCAATAGCTTTTTGTGTCTTTTCTACTCACCTTGCAGAATTAGATAATAAGAGCTTGTTTGCACTCAAATTACCCTTCTGTTCAGTGCTGCAGTTTCTGCAGTGAAAGCAGGTTCATGTATTTTATGGGTCTGACCAATGCATCAACTTTAGCATTCTTATATTATTGTAGATGAAAAAGAGGCAGGTAAGGGAGAAATCTTTCTTTGAACAGTCTTTAGGGATACTTTGCAAAGTTGACAAGGAAAGTTCTGAAAATCCTTACCAGGTTTGAACATTTATGCATATTCTTGTGCAGGGAAGTGTTCCTTTTTTCTCTTCCATGAAAGGCCATCATTAGGAATACTTTGCCATATCCTGCAGTTAGGGGAAAAAAAAAAAGTTCTTCAGGTATTCTCACAGTAGCTAAGGTAAATATTATATCTTTCAAAATATGTGGGTTTTTTCCCAATATTTCATTTGAAAGCAGTATATTTTTTTCTTCTTCTTCTCTTAAAGCCGCTGCCTCCTTGTCATGACTCTAAGGAATCTATGCAGGTGTACAAACAGCACTGCAAAATAGCAGAAGAATACCATGAGGTCAAGAAAGAAATTGCTCTACTGGAAGAAAGAAAGTGAGTAACTTTCCTAAAGTATTGACTGTTTTATATTATCTTTGTAAAATCCTGTTTTAAACATGAGGGTTTCACGTGGTATTTTCTGACCTTACACCTCAGCCTGACAGTTACACTACAGCCCAACAGATAGACCACTGGTCCATAAGATCAACTGAGGCCACTAAGGACACAGAGTTGTTGTAGTCCTGGGCCCCCAGTTGTACAGATGTCCCTTAAAGCCTTCATTGACAGCCTCCAGGTCACATAACAATCTAGTTCAGTTGGTGCGAACTTTTTTAGTTCTAGGAATTATTTTTCAACTTAAATCTACGCACTTTAATGAAGAACATAATCGATCCTCAGGGTTAGAGTACTTGACAATATTAGTAAACATTTTTCTGTGAGATGCGTTGTTTCTATGTACATTGATATTTTAGGTTTTCATATCCAAAGTGCATAAGCTGGAGTCTTTTTTTTGTGTCTATGGCCTGTACTCATACTGCTGTCATCTTTGCATGACTATTAAATGGCAAAGTGCACTCTATGACTCTCAGTCCCTTTCCACAAGAAACCTGAAAGAGAAATTCAGAGAGAAGAAGGAGGGTGAGTAGTGAAAGTTCTTTACAGACAGCCAACCCCAACAAATAACAGTTACTGCTAAGCAAACTTGCTCTTCCAAATGCTTTTTTATTTTTACATTCACACTGAAGGTGACTTCAAGCAGTGTTGCTTTCCCCAGGGGGAGTTACCTCAGTGTCGATCTCTGAGACTTCTTGTGAAGATGAAGACTGCACCATCATTCTTCCAAATGCTGGTTGAACAGGAATATTTGTAATACAGCAATGGGGGTTGAAAGAGTTCTCTCGCAGGGTGGGCTTTGAGTAGAATGTGGACCCCAGTATCCATTTCATAGCAATCTTTGCACAGCTGGTTATGCAGTTCAGCCAAGTTTGTATCCATGGGAGTCTTCAGCTGCAGAAGCAAGCTGATGGGAGGGAAACTGGTTGGAATCCAGCTGTAAGACTTGTAGTCTTAGATGTAAGACAGCCAAAGATCTCCTTGAATCCAGACTATGCAGGGTAAGAAAGTGAGACTTGGCTTTGTCATGGTTGATGGCTACAGGGACAATAGAGTTACTTGGTGCCTAAAGTGTCCGAACTAGTTGAGATTTCCCACTACAAATTCCCGTCCACTGTAGGACCTACGTGCACTGAGTTGCTGACAGACTGGCACAAAAATTAAGAAAGAATTAAAAATAACCAAAAGAGATTAACACTACATTGTCCTATTTGATTCATCATTAATTAAACTTGGCCAATCAAAAGTAATGGGTGTTTTTAAAAAGATGTAGAGCAGATAATTAATTCAAATAATTTTACAATGATTTGTCAAATTTGATTGTCTAATATAAGATACTTACATATGTATTTAGCAACCAAGTGAATTCAGTGGAAACCATACGTGTTTGTTTTCTCTGAAAATCCAGCTGGAATATAAAATATTAAACAATTGTTAAAGTGCTTAACTTTAAACGTATAAACTCAAAAGGTAGCCTTAGTTTGTTTGGGTTTTAGAGTCTACTAATATAAATGCATTATTATTACTGACACATCCCTGAATTAGTGACGCACATTTATGAAGTAAGCTTGGAGGCCATGAAAACTAAACTTACATATATATATTTACATTTACTAGAATGAAGAAAAATACTGTTTGGATGCATTTTTCTTTATCTATGGAGTCTCTGGTACTGGCTGAACTAGAAGCATTTTGTTTCTTGGAAACGGCAGATACATGCACAAAATTACTTCCCTGAGCTCAAAACTATCCTAACCAACCTCTGAGCCCAGAATCAGCCTCTCTGCATGAATTAAGGGGACTCAGGCTGACATTTTCCTTCATTGCACCATGTCAACAGTGGAACAATGTGAGGAAGCATCTGCCAGTACTATCTTTGCTGAACCTGTTCTGTGGATAGAAGATTTCATGCCCCAGTAAACATGTTAAAACAAGAGTGGTTGAATAAGGCTACAAATAGAATTATATTATTGTGATTCTTTTGTCCCTTCTAATTACATATTTGTGGCCTAAATATTCGCATTCTGTGTAGCTGTGAAATGCCTAAACATGACAAATATCAGTGCAGCACCTTTCACCACCTTCCAAATCTCTTAATCTGAAGAAGTAGTCCTACAAGCACTGGGACTGAAGACACTTAATTTCCAACAGGTTGGTGCACTGTGGTTATTTGATTTTGAGGTTTAAAAAGCTGCAAGTGTCAACTGAAAGGGGTTTTTTTCCTCCAGATGGGAACTATTTATGACTCATTCCTCCAGGTAGATTCTCCATTTTGTACTATTTTGGAGGAGGTCTGCCAATAATGCCTTTCCCCTTTGGGGGGTCTTTCCTTTCTGTGGCACTCTGTTTTTATAAAACCCTCCAGAAATTAACTGGGACCTCTTCACCACATGAAGTTTCAAGGTGGATTAAAAAGTAATTAGGACACACATATATATACCTTTACACACATGTAAGCATACACAACCTGAACACATTAACCTTGATATTTATATAAAACTAGATAGAAAAGGAGTACAAGTGTGGAGATGAAGGAATAAGCAAGAAGTCAAAGAGAGTTTAGGTCTAGTGATCAGTGATTTATATCAAAAGCCTCCTCAGTAGTTACAGTTTGAAAATTAAATGAAGTTTATGGGTTAGCATGTGCTAAACGAAGAGGAGAAGACATTACAATGTCTGGAGTGGCATGCATGTTGAATACTCCGTTCTCAAAAGGGAAGGATGCTTTGACTTTTCTAAAAAGTCTGATGAGATGCACAGCTTTAAGCCTCAAAAGCAGTTATAATAAAATTGAAAAGGTGGTGTTTGCAGCTTTCTGAAATTTGGCCCTGTTGCAGATGTCTTTTTCTTCTTCTACATTTGAAATTGAATGTATGAAAATAGAGATTCACAATTGCCTAATACAGCTGCTATCTATCGTCTATTTCTTTTAAATATTATTTTGATAAAATGGACAAAGATAGAATTTCATCCCTTGTAATGGGAACAAACAATTTGTGCAGTGTTCTTCAGCGTCCATTTTTACCAAAGGCAACCAGAAGTGCTGTTGGATGGTACCCCCTGCCAGTGCTCCAAACTTCCTCTCCACACATCAACTCACCTGCGGAATTAAAATGTGAAGATCCACCTGACAGTGTCTGCACCTGTAGTGCCTACTGGTGGTACACTGTGCACACAGAATACCGACAATGATTGTCAAGAAAAGAGCAGAAAATGGATTGAGCAAATATTTTTGATTTGTTGGCTAGGAATAGGAAATAATGTTAAGTTAGCTTGACATAAGTGTCCATACAGTATTGGAGCATTTAGTAAAATAGAAAATGGATTAGTATTCATTCTACTTAAAACACTTTTTGTTCCAACCTGCAAAGTTCAGTGTCACGTTTTATACATGAATTAATACAGGCAGGTATATTTCTAAAGGAAGCATCTTTAAGAAATAGAAAGTTGAATAAAATTATTTTAAAATAGTCAAAAACATTCACTTTTTTGCAGCTTTTCAAAGGCTTTTAATACTGCTCTGCTTGACTTGTCTCTCACTGTAGTGTGAGGATCAAGTACAGCCAAAGTATAGAAAGGCAGTGGTGTGAGATGGCAAGGGTTGCTTTTCATCATGGCAAGAACAAGGCTTATTTCTCATTTTCTCTTGTATGCAATTTAGATGGCAAGAGAATATAATGAGCTTTGAGTGGGAGAGAAGACCACAACTATTTCACAGGAAAAAGGGTAATGTGAGAGAGAAGGGAAAGTTGCAGGTTCAAAAAAGGGAAAATCAAAGGACAAAGCAAGTAAGAAGGGGAAAAGAAGTTGCTCAGGAAAAAAAGGCAAAGGGTAGCAAGAAATTGAAAGAGTTTTAAAGAACATTGGGTAGATTTTTTTGCTAATATAAACAGTCATAGCTTTGTTTACTGTCTTTATTCAAACTCTTCCCATTTATGCCAGCAATATGTAGTACAGGGACAAAATCACTCTGGTATGGGAGACATGATCGAAAAGAAAGAAAAGGGTGTGGAAGCGAGAACACACCACATTTAGGTCACAGAATGTCATTTAATTTATGTTCCAGAAACACACATGTATTTCCATAACAGATGTTTTTGGGTATCTAAGTTTGGGTGAAAGGGATGGGATGGCTGGTTATTTTGAGCACTTGTTATATTGCTATTACTAGATAATGACCCTGGATTATGTAGTTAAATATTAGAGTTGCCATGGTTGCTAGCTATATCTTATATTCTTAGCACTGGCTGGTTTTCTCTTTTTCCTTCCCCAGACAATTCTAATATAACTCTCCAGAAAATATCATTTGATCACCACCTGGTTTAGGGTCACTCCTTTTCTTTGCCATAGATATGATTTCTTTTCCTTCTTTTACACATATTACAGTAGACATGCAGTGGAGATGTCCGCTTAATTATGTGGGATCCTTCCATATGATCTTGTGACCATAGGACTGTTTCTAAGGTCTCAAGTCCAGCTGGTTTCCCCAGGTACACTATTTTGGAGTGTCTTTCCCTACACTGTTGAGACAGGACTTCAGACTTCCAGGTACTGCGGAAAAAGATTGATGTAAAACATAAAGCCAACCATTTATCTTAATTTTTCCTATTACAGACCTGATTTTTCATCGTCTCAAACGTATCCAAAATATGTGTCAATTGCCAAGCAGTGAAAAGACAGCTTTTCTAATACAAAGAGAAAACTCAGCTTGCCCTGTTGCAGTGATGAATACTTACAGACCTTTTATGTGCTGGCATCCAAGACATATTTTCATTTATATTAAAACAGGCTGTCTCATTGTTTTAAAAAGTAATTAGTAGACTTTGAACAGGCAAGGGCAGCCTCCTCAGACAGCAATTACCTTACAGGGTGTAGTGATTCCTCCTGACGTGAAAGCCATGTCAAATATGGGAAGAGTAAATGACCTTACAGCTACCAGAACGCAGAGACAGATGTTAGCTGGGAAGGAATGTGTAGTACCACAGATGCATGATCCTGAATACCACAGGAGAAAGACAAGTCTGCCTCTTTGCACTGTGGAAGCTGTTTTCCTTGAGCCCAGTCTATCTCCAAATACGTTTATCTCCAGACAGATTTATCTGCTTCGGCTGTCACTTTTCTTGGTGTTTATTAATTGTGAATATTACTGTAAAGGAACTCTGCTCTCTGCATGGTCAGTCATTAAGGCCGGGACAAGAGAAATAACTTCCCTAAGACCATGCTGGGTTTTTCTCCTGCTCTGGTATGGCTTGTGGTTTATTGGTTCATGATGCAAATCTTCTTCCTTTCCCACCCAAACCCCTCCTCAAAAAAGAACACTTGAAGCGTACGTTACAGATTGACTCAAAGCTTCAAGTACCTCAGCACCATTTTAGAAAATACCTTATCAATGCTGTTAATATTTAAACTCAGGGTAACCATTAACAGAAAACACAGATTACACAGTGCTAGATCTATTTATTAAGCATCCATAACAAAGGCTAGATGGTGCAAGAGCTTAGTATGGTGTTCTTTAACCTCTGGAAGCTAAGTTCAAATCCTGGATTAGGTCAGAAGCAAATGTTAGTTACTGTCCTCATCCTTTTGTGAGCTTTGTAAACCACACCATTCATAACATTTAGCAATTCCCTGGTACTCTAATTTTAGATCTCTGTGGCAGGCTGGCAGTATTTGCCTGAAACATCACCCTACCCTGTAAACAGGTGTTGATCCTGATGGGAAGGGAATAAGTAGGTTCTGCTGACTCAGAAGTGGGCAATTTTACTACCTCAGTGCAAGGAAGCTGCTTTCTGCAAGAGGGGCCCTAGAGTGTGGACTACAGCAATGAGTATATTTTTATTTTAATGCATTTATATTTTTTTTTAATAACAAAGCTAAATCCCAGGGAAAAAACAAAAAACAAAAAACAAACCCAAACAAAGTTATCTGTGCTGCTTGAGTACTGCTCGAGAGCAGCACAAAAGCCATGCCTGCACATAGCCTCGTCTTATCAAATCAGGAGTGACATTCATTAATAGAGCTGTCTGAGTTTGCACACTGTCTGTGCCACTCCTGGCTCAAGTCCAAATAGAGTAGTTAGTACCTTTCTTTTACATGTACTAAAAGTCCCTGTGGAAAAAGTGTACCTGCTTTTAAGATGCTGATTACTTACTAGTGTGCTCACTGCATGTCACTTCAAGAAGCTCGTAAGTTTTACAAAAGCCAGGAAGAATGATTCTGAATTAATTTGCTTGGAACACTTCTGAGTCAACAGTCTGTAATTTGAAAGAGCTTAATTTAATCCTTCAGTCTAGCATTGCACCAGTAGAATAATTGCAAAGAAATATTGCTGAAGCTCTGTTTTGATCCCAAGAGACAAAAGTCTTCTAAAGGAAACCTAAGAGACTGAAGTGATTGAAGCTGCTGGACTCGGAAAATCTCGTCCCTAAATGCATTTCTCACCCTCTAAAGCATACACACAATTTCTCCTCTGTGGCTTACAGTCCCATTAATAGGAGCTGGAATATCGAACTGTCTAGTAAGATCAGTTCATCTTGGCCAATCTGAAAATTAGTTGATCTAGCATGGCCCAATCAAAGAGAAATGAATCTGTTAGTGGCTTACTGCTTTTAAATTTTTTAAAACTATATTGTGCCAAATGTTAATACAATTCTGCTGAACAAAAATACACTCTGGTTATTTTCCCTCGAAGACCTGATTGAATATACCTTTCACCTGGTGAAAGGAAAGAGAAGAGGCTTTGCTGCAGCACAGCTGCTATGCATTAACTCAGTGGTTTAAAAAGAAGCCAACATAGAATCATAGAATACCAGTTTGGAAGGGTCCTCAAGGATCATCTGGTCCAACTTTTCTTGGCATCCCCCCCATATTTAGCTACAAGAGGTTTTCTATATACTGCAAATTTTGGATGTTTTAAAGTTGCTGTAATGGCTGCTATCTTCCTTTTTTTTTTTTTTTTTTGGGGGGGGAAACACAGTTGGGTTCTCTTCTAACTTTTGACTCCTTGAACTGCAGTAACTGTGACTGGAAGCAGTCAGATAAACCATGGGCAAAGCGCTATCGCTGAAAGCTGTGGTAAAGATAGAGGATGATCAAACTGATCCTAGAAGGCGGCCAGATAGAGGTGTTTTTCAAAACCTGGGTGCTTGCAGTTTTGCTGCTGTAAGTGGCAGTTTTGCAGATATAAGTAATGGAAGTGATCAGCAAACACTGAAATGTTATCATTTCATGGCCCGTGGTGATAGAATTACTGATCGGCAGGAATTTCCTGTCTGAAAGCTTGACAAGAGGGCTCCGTTAAAGACTGCAGCAACAGCTCTCCACTTTGAAGGCGTTACATCTTCCCACTGAGGGTCTACGAGCATTGTTTTGACGTGACTGAAAACTAAAGTCACAGGGCTACGAACAGTTAAAGATTAACTAATCTCTGAGATAGAATGATCAAAAGAACCTTTTCGAAGAGACTTCCTGCAGCAGGGGCGAATAAATGATTTGACTTAAAGGGGAAAAAAAAGCAGAGGCCAGACTAGCCCGCTGGGTAACTAAGTGGAGAGCGATTAGATACCCTGTGAGTTACTCATGCCTTCAGTGTGTTTTGTTTTAAGACCTCTTTTATCTTAACTTGTGCTGAGGTAATTTCAGTTGATACTACACAGGGGACTCCAGCTCCTGGCCAGCTCTGGGAATACAGAGCACTGTGTGACTCCATCCAGGAAGAAGCAACAGTTTGACTCCTCTGGTGTCTCCTCTTAAAAAGACCAGGAGGGGTCAGCTTTGCAGCTCTGTCGCTCTTCCTCAACTGTGGGGCTAAGGTCTGAGCATAAACACATTATAGAAACCATACATGTAGTTCAGATTAACGTGCCTAGTATTTACCAGAATCATTTTTCTTTGTAGGAGAGAAAAGGAAACCAGGTGTACTTCGCAGAATTTACTGGTAAAGCTAACCAACCGCACAAACACCCCTTACTCTGTTTCAGATATGTTTGGCATTGAAAGAAAAAGAAATTGTTATTTTCCAGGCAGAATATTAGCATGCTCTCTCCAGGAACTTGCTTCTCCCCCATGAACTGCACATTCAACTCTTACTGAAGTTAGAGTTAATTTGAAGGTCCTCAGCATTTTGCAGGTGTGGTTGCTGAACAGGAAACCTATCAGAGATTTTGGCAGCTTCATCTTTTAAAGGGAAAAGGGGGACTCTATCAAATTGATTTTCTAGGTTTCTTTTTTCACAAGAGCTCAAGTAATACCATGTTAACAACCCATAGTCCAGCTTGAACCTAACACACGATGACAAATTTTTGCCATTTTTAATCTTTTGGTTTTTGTTCATAATTGTCAGAAAGGAGCTGATTGCCAGGTTGGAACAAGTGGAAAAAGAAAGCATGGATGCTGCTCAGCTGGCCAAGGAATACGCAGAACTGACAGAGGAGAACCGAACACTGAAGCTGGCCCAGACACAGTGTGTAGAGCAACTGGAAAAGCTCAGAATACAGTACCAAAAAAGACAGGGGTCCTCATAACTCTCAACTAGCTTATGTGAGGCAGTTAATACAGAATTGATCCTGTGCTGGAAAGAGATTTTAAAATAAAGGTCTGTTTAATATGTTATAATACTTTACTACAGATACAGAGTATGTAGAAGTCTATATTTGATTTAATGCTTGCCAGCCAGTAGCTTAATATAATGGATATTTCATCCATTATATAATGGATATTTTATTTCAAGTAACATAATTGAAGTTAATCTATCCCCATTATATGTTCTAGTAGATCAGGTTTCTTTTCTAAACATATTTCTTCCAATTTAAGAAGATATGGACACACTAGAAAATGATATAAATAGTCTCTGTGTTGGGAATTTGGACCATACTAAGGCATACAGCAGGGACAATGTTAATATATGGAATACATGTACGTTAATTTTAGTTTGGTGAAGATTTTTTAAATTATTTTCCTCATGCCTAAAGTATTTGGAAGTTATATTAAAACAGATCTCCTCACTGGTAAAAACTATATTTTATTATCTCATATAAACTTTACATTATTATATAAAATCTGAGAAATTGCACATTAAAAGTTGAAGTAACATAATTATTTCTTATCAGATGAGTGTACTGCCAGTAATAATTTGCAAGTTATGAAATTAAAAGGAAACAGGTGAGATCAAACTTTCCTTCCTCAAGTATAAGCTTGAGAGCCTTTCAATTGTACTTTTTGGCATGCAAGAAATGAAAAATTAAGGTATGAATATGTCAGTAAAAGCACTGTGAGGATATTATGTTCTTATTTTCTGGTCTGTTTTGAAACATAAGTGGCTGTAGGTAGGGACAGAAGTTCCACGATATACAAATAACTTGGAAGTAAAACGTTAGTTTTACTTGCTCTATTTATCCCTGTATTTTCCTAGAACAACTGAAAATTCTTTGTTATACTTCCATTTCTATTCATACAGTATTTTTTTCATTAAAAGCAGATACAGAAAAGCCGTTTTATGTTCTGAATGTTCTTAAATCACCCTGTGTTGTTAACTCTGCTTGACAGACGCAGCTTGTTACATCTTCATGAGGCTGGAATTCAACTCGATGTGTCATTAGAACTGAAATGTCTCTTAGTAATTGAAAACTATGAACTTAAGTATTTCACCAGAACTTTAGCTTTGATTATTATCACTAATCTATTACACGAATGGGATTTTATGTTAATCAGAACAATTCCTGGGGAAGTCTTTTGGCACCAAAACATTCCCCGGTAATTCCCGCGGCAAAGGGGACAGTAAAATACAAGCTGCCCTTTATTTCCCTGTGCTAACTACCTACAGCATTCCCTGCATCCCAGGCGTGAAAACAGACTCCGTGTTACTTCGAGCACCTGGCATTGCAGCAGGAGAGTACAAGGAGGTGAAGGGAGAGGACAGCCTTGTCTCCACTTCTCCTCCTGAGCCAACGGAGCAGAGGCAGCCCACGTGCCCGGCACCGCTTACTGCCTTACCCCGGCCAGAGTGGAGATGGGAAGGGAAATCACCTCTCTGAAGCATGTGCTTTCTGCTGGGATGCTCTGCGGGCAGTGTAACACTGTATTTATTCCTCTTTCATTGTTATCTGAGGGTCCAGTTTTCACTTGTGAGACTTGAAGAGCAAAATGAACACTTGGGATGTCAGGCCTGGGAATGCGGGAAAAGCCTTGCCTGAGTTTTGCACTGATGGGAAGCATGACGTGGGCAGGCTTCAGGGCTTTGCTTTGAGCACAGGACACTAGAGAATCTAGGATGTATTATTTTTGTCTGTATTTATGTGTTTTGAACAGGAGGATTCTCATTTTCAAAAATAATTTGTCATTCTAGTCAGTGATTCTTTTCCATCTAGCTTTGAAAACATCAGCCAGTCTGGTGATTTCAGTGAATCCTTTGAAAACTGTAAAAAGTACATAGAATTAATTCATTAACAGACTGGCTTTGGATGCAGATGGATCAGACAGCAGAACTTTACTTACAAATAACTGTGTTTGCCTTGAAATTTTCCGTTTAAGTGCAGCCATTATGCTTTAGATGTCAGAATAATAACAGATCATACTCTCGGAGAAAAACATGAGGGAGAGCCACAGTATATGGAGAAGGAAAGCTGGGCCTCATTTATAACACACAGCAATTTAAGTGTACCCAGGGAATATGGTTTTTCTAACCTAAAGTTACTGACCAGCGTGGAAGTCTTCAGAAAACATGTTTATAGGTGTACAGATAACAAATGCATGGTGTGGTCCAGCTACTGGCCTGGATGGAACTCTTAAAGCATCCCAAATTAATTGAAGTCAGAGATTTGTATTTAATCTGGACTGTGGCTGTTTGCAATCAAATTTTTCTCCTACTTTTAGTTATGGTGAAAGTAAAAAATAACTGCTTTTTATCATTACATTTGCCTGCCAGCATGGATGCTCATGTGGCTGAGAATAGTGACTCAGAGAAATTGCATCACAATCCAAATGATACAGAAACACCAAGGAAGGAAAATTAAAGTGCCTCATGAAAACAAGATTTTAAAGAAAAAATAGCAGGTGAAATGGGATTCAAAGACAGAAGAGTAGAGAAATGGAATTTTTCAAAAATATTCATAGTCAAGTGAAATTAAAATGCAGAAAAGTCAACATAACTCTTTTCACTGGAACAGGTTGCCCAGAGAAGGTGGGCTGCCCCATCCCTGGAAGTGTTTAAGGCCAGGCTGGATGGGGCCTTGAGCAACCTGGTCTAGTGGGAGGTGTCCCTGCCCATGGCAGGGGGGCTGGAACTCGACGATCTTTAAGGTCCCTTCCAACTCTAACCGTTCTAAGAGTCTATGAACCCAGAAAATTATTCAAGTGTTGCAAAGAGTAAAAATGTCTAGAACAGCCTTCTGCGAGGTAACTGCTGTATCTATCATCCATTTCTTGATTTTTTTAAATAATGATAAACATTTTCATATTCAATAAACTTGTGATTTTGACATGCTGAATTTTTCTCTAGATGTTAGTTTGAACTGCATAGCTCTGCCAACTTAATAGCTGAAATTAGGTTTTTTAAGAAAATGTTTGTTTGTCATATTTGTGCTTTATTTTCCAAATAGACAATGTGATTTGCCTCCTGGTATTTAAGGAAAGACCTTAAATGGGTCTGCTAGCTAGGTCCACTTTAAGTATAGCGCTGTAAAAAAGAGGTTTATACAATTACTTCAAGGATGTTTTTACATCGTATTTCACCCAAGAACTTAGAAGCCAGTTTCAGCTTTTGCGTTCAACTGCCAACAAAACATTAGATTTTATAAACCTCTGACTATAACCTGTGATGACTGCAGTTGCACTCAGCAGAAGAACAGCGCGGTCTGAGGCTCTTGCTGGCAATTCACCACTGCTCAGAAGGCAAGGAAAGATGTGAAAGGCTCAGATGACAGAAGAAGTTGCCAAACGCGTAGAGCTACGTAGATACAGTCTGTTACACTGATAAAGTGTATTTCTTGCTATTACCCGGGTTATTCGGGTTAGCACAAGTAAGCATGCCACTACGATGACAAATGCATTTGCTTCAGAACACTTAAGAAAACAGTGAAGTACATGGGTTTAAAAAAACAAAACCTGTGCTTTCCATTTCCTATGATTACTAAGTAACTTCCTTCCATCCTAACAAATGCTGAACAAGCTCAATTTAAGTATTCCAGTTAGCAAGGATGTGACTCATGCCATCTTGAAACAGCCAGAGGCCAGGGTGATTTTACACTTGAAAGCCCTGGAAGATAAGGACCTGCAGGTTTGGGTTTGGTGGCTCTTTCTTAATGTTTCCCCTTCCAGGATTATCTTTATTCTGACTGGTTTTGTGAATTAATGATCTTTGGAAGTGTGTCACCTCCCTCCAGAGGCTTTGTTGCCACTGGGGCCTTTGTGAGCGTTGCAGGTTGTTCAGAACGGGTACAAATACGCAAGGGTAGGACACGGGGGTCTTTTCAGCCTTCCTTCGGGCTGTGTGGTTGGGGACCTCTGGCATGTGGCCATTTGCTGCTTGAACTCCAGTCGCAGGCCACCTTGCAGAAACGAGTTCGCCGCGGCCTTAACTCATGGAGTCACTTGGTGTTTTTTCCCACATGAAATTATTTGCTTGCTCCACGCAGGGCCCTGCCTCTCTTCTCATGGAGGGGTCAGGACGCGTGGTGCTCAAAGGAGGAGGTTGCAGGGAGAGGAAGCGTGGTCCACCCAGGCGGTGGTGTCGCAAGAGGGGCAGGGTGGTGAGGAGAGCTGACAAAACTTGGGTGGTGGCGTGATTTTTCTCTCACATCCACCCAGTCCCACAAACAGACATCTGCACCCACAGCCCTGGGGGGTCTCCTCCCGCCTGTTCAGAGTGTCCTGGCATGGAGACACACGGATAATGTGGTGATGAACATCCTCGGAAAACCTGCGGGGAAACTGTTGACTGTCTGCGCGACAGGCCTGGAAGGTGTGCAGCAATGAAGGCCTAGGGCTGTTACGGATTAAGTACTGAGAAGCTGGCCCCCCGTTGTCCATCCTGCTGGGCTTCTCTGGGACGAGGCCAGGCGTTGGGACTGCACGGCTGTCCCACAGTGCATGTGAAGGAGGGTACCAAGGTGGAGATGGATGGGCAACCTCGGCCTTTCCCTCTCCCCGCACTGAGTCCCTTGGGTTTGCAATGCTACACTGGGAGTTATGGAGACGGTCCTTCAGATGCCCACCAAAACTGTGCAGCTGACATTTTAAATTCAAAAGTTGTCAATTATTTGATAAGAATGAAAAAAAAAAAAATCTACCTTGCTTGGGAGAGTGCCAGTCACCTCTAGGTTCTTCAGCGCTCCTTACAAGGAATGTCATGCATTACTCAAACCCGTGTGAATGAAAGATGACAATCATTCAAAAATTACTGTTAACCTCGACCCAGGCTTTCTAGACTGCACAGTCTGCTGGTTCACACTGTAGGGAGCACAAGATTTAGCATATGAGTCACTCAGCTTTTCTACATACCAATCACCAGTTCCTCCTTCTAAACCTCAGTTCCTTTAATCCACCCCCCACCTCTTCTTCCCCCCACCCCGACCACAACCCATGGATCTGTACCCTCTACCCAGTAAGCGACATGGGTCTAGAGCTCAGATCCAGCTGAGTGGTGATCCCGTGAAGCGGGCTGCTGATCACCATCTGCTTGAGATGGTTGCCGAACCTTAGAGCCCCACAATGTTTTGTGACTGGGTGCTGGTGGGTGGCAGCCGGGCACAGGTGGGGGCTGTGAGATGGGCTTGCTTTCTTGGAACTGCTGAGGAAAACACGAGAGCAGGTGGTCGGCGGATTTAGTTGCTTTTCGGAATTTTGTATTAAGTTTTTAGTAGGGAAATTAGGGAAATGAAAGGAGGATGTGTGTGCTGATGTAACAAGTGTGCAGCCAGATGCCGTACTGTGCCTCGGGTGCTCAGAATGAGCGAAGGGATATGAGAACTGCGAGTAACAGAAATGAAGCAGTTACAGCTAGGAAGAGGAACTGGCGAGCGAGCTGTGGGCCTTAACTGCTCGCTCTCTCGCTTTTTATGGCTTGCACCAGTGGGATGCATAGGCTGTTGTCCTCCGCTCAATGTTACAAAGCTTGTGTTTGGTTGTTTCCCAAGGCTTTTCCAAGCCTAGTCTACAGAAACACTTCAGACTGGAATATTTACTTCATTAAGGTTATGTTTTTGTCGAATACATCTAGTATCAACAGAGCTATACTGTGATAAAGATGCTTGCAGAGTTGCAGATGGTTCTTCTATAGAAAGAGGAATAACCAGTATCAGTATATGACTCTATCCTGCTAATCATAGAATCTTAGAATATCTCAAGTTGGAAGGGACCCATAAGGATCATTGAGCCCAATATCATGCCAACTGCTGTATTTGCATTAAAGATAAATAAATTATAGTCTTGATAAATAGTCTATGTATAGTAAACTGAAGCTACACTGAAGCTAGAGTGCTTTAATGCTGAAATAAATGCATCCCCAGTAGTGGGCTTTTGCTGCTTTTGTTGCAGA